TTCTTGGTTATTTGAAGCAGTCATGTTTACTACATGTCTCTATCACCAGCCCCCCTCCTTGGCACCACCAACTGCACCAACAACCACTCCACCACCAGCTGCACCAACAACCACTCCACCACCAGCTGCACCAACAACCACTCCACCACCAGCTGCACCAACAACCACTCCACCACCAGCTGCACCAACAACCACTCCACCACCAACTGCACCAACAACCACTCCACCACCAGCTGCACCAACAACCACTCCACCACCAGCTGCACCAACAACCACTCCACCACCAGCTGCACCAACAACCACTCCACCACCAGCTGCACCAACAACCACTCCACCACCAGCTGCACCAACAACCACTCCACCACCAGCTGCACCAACAACCACTCCACCACCAGCTGCACCAACAACCATCTACTCCGAGGTAGGAGGCGTGCCAGCTGCCCATCAGTGTCAATATAATAAGGACACTTCATTACCCATGTGAGACGCCACGATAAGTTTTTAGGCTGGTTCCTCCTCGTCCTCCTCCGCCCTCGTGAGGGCTGGCCGGTGGGACTCGCTACCACCTTCCTCCGCTACCACACCTGACAAGTCAGGTGTGGTGGAAGGTGGCAGTGTGAGAGGTGTGGCAGCTGTAAGAAAGACTCTGAGGGAACTGAGCATTACCACAGTGCAGGAGAGGAGGAACAGATGGGGGGACATGATAACGACATACAGGATTTGAAGGTAAAGTAACAAAAGAATAAACTTACGGAGAAACGTTCCAGCTGTGAAAGCTAGATACAAAGGACTCAACCAAACTGCTGATAAACGTTTGGTTGATAAGAGATATCAACCAAACGTTCTTCAGTGTGAAAGTTGTATAGAAATTACAAGTATAACAAAAAAATATGTTGTCAAGCCGATTTATAAAACAATAGTGAATGTTAATATGATTAACACGAGAGAATTAATTGATTGTATTATAGTACTGAGGGTTGGAAAGGCAGGGCTTGGGAGCTGGGTTCTTCATCTCTTAATCTGTGCCCTCTCTCCACCTCTCTCTTTCCACCTATCCTCTTATTTTTCCTTCTCTCTATCCTTCTCCCCCCCCCCACACATCCCCAGTCATCCCTCTCCCTCTCTTTCTAAACCTCAGCAAATAACCATAGCACAATGGGCTTGATAGTTCACTGCGTCGTTATGGCAGGCATTACAGTCCCGCTAAATAACATAAAGGGGCGAGTTAACAGCGGCGCCCTGGGGGGGGGGGAGGAGGGCGGTGACTGTGTTCACCAGCAGGGTGCTGGCCGAGGAGTTCACCACCAGCAGGGTGCTGGCCGTGGTGTTCACCACCATCAGGGTGGTGGCCGAGGTGTTCACCAGCAGGGTGCTGGCCGTGGTGTTCACCAGCAGGGTGCTGGCCGAGGTGTTCACCACCACCAGGGTGGTGGCCGAGGTGTTCACCACCACCAGGGTGGTGGCCGAGGTGTTCACCACCAGGGTGCTGCAAGAAGCAAGGGGCAGGGGGTCCCTGACTCACCACACAGCAAGAAACAAGGGGCAGGGGGTCCCTTGACTCACCATACAGCAAGAAACAAGGGGCAGGGGGTCCCCTGACTCACCACACAGCAAGAAACAAGGGGCAGGGGGTCCCTTGACTCACCACACAGCAAGAAACAAGGGGCAGGGGGTCCCTTGACTCACCACACAGCAAGAAACAAGGGGCAGGGGGTCCCTTGACTCACCACACAGCAAGAAACAAGGGGCAGGGGGTCCCCTTGAGTCACCACACAAGCCCACGCGCGACAGGGGGCTCCTTATCTTAGCTGAACACTATAAAACACACACCAAAAACAGCTGATTCACTCAACAAATTTGTTAATGCCAGCAGAGAGCTTAGCAGAGCTACGAGACCAGCTGTACGGCCACCACTGGGAACAGTTTAGCAAGTCATCATGTAACATTCTCACCCCAAATGCTATCTAAAAAAATACAAATATTTCGCATCGCAACTCTCCCTAACTTGCTCACAACTCACCTGCAACCTCACGGTTTATAGAAATAATACTCTGCGCGCGCACACACACACACACACACACACACACACACACACACACACACACACACACACACACACACACACACACACACACACACACACACACACACTATTGGGTTAAACAACTGACTGAACTCTACATTAATCAGAACAGTCCTGGTCAGAACTCTACCCCCAGTTAACATAAACCCAGAGTTTGCCAGTGCAGACTACTGATCACACGGCCCTGTATGACTAACACTCCTGTGTGATGGAGAGTTTTAGCATCACGGAGCTAGTTCTTGACACTCTGTATTCCCCCTTCATATAGTCTACGGTAGCTAGTTCTTGACACACACTGTACTCCCCTTCATATAGTCTAGGGCAGCTAGTTCTTGACACACACTGTACTCCCCTTCATATAGTCTAGGGTAGCTAGTTCTTGACACACACTGTACTCCCCTTCATATAGTCTAGGGCAGCTAGTTCTTGACACACACTGTACTCCCCTTCATATAGTCTAGGGCAGCTAGTTCTTGACACACACTGTACTCCCCTTCATATAGTCTAGGGTAGCTAGTTCTTGACACACACTGTACTCCCCTTCATATAGTCTAGGGCATCTGTACAAATACACATATACATAAAAGTGTTGATACAAAAATACAATCATCACATACATTCTGTAAATACAAATGATGAGATGAAGATAGTGTATGCAAGGGTCATTATTGATGACACACAACTGTTAGTGCCTCCAGACACCTCACCAGTCGTTGTACGTGATCAATAACCAATTAGACAAGTTCCTGCAGCAGGAACTCCCCGGACCAACCGAGCTGTGGTGGATGTGTGAGGCCTCAGCAGACAGCTAAAAGCAACACAGCCTTTTAGATTAAGTTATCACAGAACAAGCCCGGCCCGAGGCTGGCGCTTGGAGAGTAGAACAACTCCCAGAACCCTGTCCAGGTAGACTCCAAACTAGTCTGCGTCACGTGATCAGCTACACTAACCAAACTGTGACGACACAAACAGACCTAACTAGAGATGATTAAGCTGTTTCTGAGTGCAAGTGACCGAGGGGGGGATATCGGTGAGACGCAGACATTACCAACTGCAAGTATTCTACACAATCGACTTTAGATTGGTCCAGGACGGACCGAAACGTCGTCGTCCTTTCACCTTTCAGTGTGTGGTCTGGTCAACATACTTTAGCCACGTTATTGTGACTTCTCGCCTGCATATTCTACAAATTTTGATTCCCTTTTAAAGGCAAACACCGGTTGTAGTGTAGTGTAGTGTGTAGTGTAGTGTAGTGTGTAGTGTAGTGTGTAGTGTAGTGTAGTGACGCTCCAGGGAGCATCGCCAAGATAATCTCCTCCACTCCAGTTCGCCCTCATCTTATTTCTTGTCTTAAGCTGTAGGTGGGTGTAGCGAGGTGGTGTAGGGAGCTGACCGGCCCGGGTTCACCGACTCACGCCCCGACACCACGCTCGCCTCAACTGTGCCTCCAGTTATCGAACTGAAACTATATACAACTGATCGAAGTTGGAGATCCGGGAATTATCAGTTGGATCCAAATCCTGTGGCTGGCATTTGCCCTATGACGTCATAGGCCTCGTGAACGGCACACATATATAAAACAACATTTTTATCTCTTATTTTCGTTAGGTTAGGTGGTAGAGAAAGTAGCTACAGCGTAGATTGGTAGACTTACGGAGCCCAAAGTGCCGTAACTATGGGTAGATGAACAAGTAACTGTTTAATGTGGTGATAACAGTGACTAACAGTGCCGGTAACTTTTGAGAGAGAGAGAGAGAGAGAGAGAGAGAGAGAGAGAGAGAGAGAGAGAGAGAGAGAGAGAGAGAGAGAGAGAGAGAGGATGAGGGGACAGCATGAGAGGGGGAGACGAGGACGCTGGTGGACGGAGTCATTCAACTTTGCAGGGTGCCTGAAGGGTGTTGTGGGACAATCATAGGGCAGATGGGGGGTCGGGGGATTGGCCCCACCGCCCTGGCCATTTACGTTGGTGGAGATGAAATGGTGGCCGCCGAGCCCACAGAGTTTCATCACCTGTTCACAATAAAAGATTAGACCTTTCAGACCAGTTGGCATGAGGTACCTGGAGCTTTGCAATTACTTTATTCACTCTCGTATTCTTGAAGATATCCTCACAGTATACCCAAAATTTGCCAGTGCAGGCTATTAAACACATGGCTCTGTATGACTAACCATCCTGCGAGATGGGGACTTGTATTACCACTGCTACCTTATTCAATCTTGTGTTGTTGATATCCTCAAAATGCATCCGGAGTCTGCCAGTGCAGACTGCTTATCACATGCCTCTGTATGACTAACCATCCTGTGTGATGGGGATTTTTTAGCATCACCTAGTTAGCTTTTTTGACACACTGCACTCCACTTCATATAGTCTAGGGTAGCTGCACTAATGCAGATGTACCTAATATGTTAATAAAAAAAAAAAAGAATTCAGATATTGGCACACAAAACACACGTTCTGATATCAAATTTGCATTATGAGGGTTTCCAATTCTGAAATGATAGTGTAATAGCTTTAGGGTAATAGTGCACAGGCATTATATATATACATTATATATATATATATATATATATATATATATATATATATATATATATATATATATATATATATATATATATATATATATATATATAATGTACATAGTACACATAGTGAGATGTGTGAACATATGTACATGTGAATGACATACATATAAATAACAGAATATATCAATGCTGGATTAGATGCCTCAAGATATGGGAGTCGAAGCCCTAGAGGCAGTAGAGAATGAGTACGAACACCAGAGCCACAGTAGAGGCAGCAGAGCCACTATAGAGGCAGCAGAGCTACTGTTGAGGCAGCAGAGTGACAGTAGAGGCACTAGCGACACAGTAGAGAGAGAAATCAACAATTAATCAGTGGTTACTAATGACTCACGGGGCGATTCGGATGCCGTTCCAGCAGTGGGTGTCTTGAGTGGCCAGGCTGTTGCAGTGGGCTTCAGGCAGGCCCGCCCACCACTCCCGCGCCGCCTCCACCGCCCGCACCGCCGCCCCCGCGCTCTCCAGCACACGCCCACTGCCTCGCTCCTCTCCCGCGGGCGCCGCCGGCTCCACTGAAACAAAAGACGCTCATCAATGTCAGGACAGGAGCCCACTGGAGACAGTGGGGTAAGAGAAGGCAAGCACATCTAGGTAAGAGGTTGTCAATACGTCTGGAAGATATTCGTGTAAGGTAGAGAAGGTAGATTTGCCCAAGGAAGTGATATCCCAAGGACCCTTGGGATATACCAAGGACCCCTTGGGATATACCTAGGATCCTTGGGATATACCTAAGACCCCTTGGGATATACCAAGGACCCCTTGAGATATACCTAGGACCCCTTGGGATATACCAAGGACCTGAGCTTGTATCCCCTGGGATATACTATAAGGCCTGGTCTTACAAGGCCCACGCGGAATACTCTACCTGAAGGTCTACACGAGGTATACTGTATATCTGTGTAGGTTTAGGATTAGTTTGTACCTAGGATCCTTGGGATATACCTAAGACCCCTTGGGATATACCAAGGACCCCTTGAGATATACCTAGGACCCCTTGGGATATACCAAGGACCTGAGCTTGTATCCCCTGGGATATACTATAAGGCCTGGTCTTACAAGGCCCACGCGGAATACTCTACCTGAAGGTCTACACGAGGTATACTGTATATCTGTGTAGGTTTAGTGACACGCGAACTAAACAAATAAACAGAACATTTACAGTGGCATTTCGTTGAAAGGAAAAATGACAAGACGTCTCTCCACTGAGACAGGAGGAGGGGGGGAGGGGGGAGGAGGGAGGAGGAGGAGGGGGAGGCGGAGGGGAGGGGGGAGGAGGGGGAGGCGGAGGAGGGGGAGGCGGAGGAGGGGGAGGAGGAGGAGGCAGGGAGGGGAGGAGGGAATTATCAGGGGAAAGCACCAAGCCATTAGACTATATAGCACTAGGAAGGGGTCAGGATAAGGATTTGGGATGGGACGGGATGAAGGAAGGAATGGTGCCCAACCACTTGGACGGTCGGGGATTGAACGCCGACCTACATGAAGCGAGACCGTCGCTCTACCGTCCACCCCAAGTGTATTTATGTATTTATGTGTGTAGGTTAGCTTAGCATTTTAAAAGCACTACAATCACCTTCTGTGGTTGATTGTTCATTAAATCCCTGAAGTATATGTTTAACAGATCTCTAACCCTGTCCATGGAGGACAGAAGGAAATGTATATATGCTGGTTAGCATTGTTAATGTGTGGCCACGTCTGTGGTAGAAAATAATAATAAAAAATGCCCCTGGGGTTTCAGGGCACTTAGCGCAAATGTTTAATTCTATTTGAGTAATTGTGTGTCCTCCCTCCCTCCCTGTCTCCCCCCCCCCTCCCTCCCTGTCTCCCTGCCTCCCTCCCTCCCTGCCTGCCTGCCTGCCTCCCTCCCTCCCTCCCTGCCTCCCCTCTCTCCCTCCCTCCCTCCCTGCCTGCCTCCCCCCCCTCCCTCCCTCCCTCCCTCGCTCCCTCCCTCCCTCCCTCCCTCCCTCCCTCCCTCCCTCCCTCCCTCCCTCCCTCCCTGCCTGCCTGCCTCCCTCCCTCTCTTCTGTTCCCTTGCTTCTAAAATGTATATTCCTAATCCTATTTCCCCTTTCTTCTTTCTACTCCCTTATATCCTCCGTACTCACCCTCCTTCCCTCCCGTCCCCTTGTGACGGGGCCAGGGGTAATGACTGTCCATTACCCCCTTAGTTAACTATCTCTAGAGTTCCCCCAGACTCCCTACTGCAACCTCTCTAGTTCAACACCATGTAACCTCGGTGTCTGATCATAGACGTGCTACACAGACAAAGTATTGTACCTGATCAGCTTCCAGGAACTCTAGAGAACTCTTAATACTTTTCACTGCCACCATCCATTCTAGTAACGTATGTAAGACAAGGAATGGAACTTATCTGTGCAACACAATATCAAAGATGTTCATGTGTAAACTGGAAGTATGCACTCGTAAATACTCAAGCCTCTAAGTCTATAAGCATCATAGGGAACCCCAAGATCCAGTGATCGGAAATAAAGTCAGATTTACAACTCCAAATTAATCAATTATAATCAATTATTTATTTATTAGGCCTTCACTCAAAGGGGTAAACCCAATTCATTCATATCTTTGAACGTTAAATGTCAACAACAATAATATACATTGGGAGTCGCCACACAAGACACTGAGGACAAAGAGAGACCCAAGAGCCAAAGCTCAACCCCCCCGCAACCACAACTAGGTGAGTACACGACGGCTGACTGTCCCCCGGAGAAGGAACACTGAGGAACTATATCCTGTCTGACTGACTTGATGTTTCTGAATATTATTATAATACATTTATAGTGTTACGCTTTGCCTTACTCCCTCCCTCACACGCACTCACCCTTCCCTCACACGCCTTACTCCCTCCCTCACACGCACTTACCCTTCCCTCACACGCCTTACTCCCTCCCTCACACGCACTTACCCTTCCCTCACACGCCTTACTCCCTCCCTCACACGCACTTACCCTTCCCTCACACGCCTTACTCCCTCCCTCACACGCACTTACCCTTCCCTCACACGCCTTACTCCCTCCCTCACACGCACTTACTCTTCCCTCACACGCCTTACCCATCCCTCACACGCCTTACCCTTCCCTCCCTCTCACTCTCCCATAATTTTTGTCACAGTCTTTCTCACCTCATCTCTCTCACTGACCCTCTTCCTCACATCCCCCCCCATCCGTCCACCATCTTAACAAAAGACCTAAATTGGAATCCTCATTTTTTTCAATTCCCAGATGCAGATCAACCCATTACAGCAGAGAGGGTGCAGGGGGGAGGAGGGATAGGGGATGGGAGAGGGGGTATGGGGGGGAGAGGTGAGGGGGATATGTGGGGGTAGAGGGGCCAAAGGGGGTTGCATACCAAGACTATAGCGGCTTCAGGATCGGATTCCATTAAGACGCCAAGCTCTCTCGTCTCCTCCTTAAGACAATGCCGGTCCCAAAACCATCTAGCTCACTGGTAGAGAACCTCCCTAATTGCGTTTGCGGCAATCGAGCTCCAGCTATAGGGTCCCGCCTCTTAAACTAGTATTCGATATTTAAGATCATGAGACCAAGGTGACCAGCACCCTGGTTCCTCTCGTGGAGCGGCCCGGTTACCATCTTCACACTGGACAACGTCTTTTGGTATTTGGTTCATTTGTGTGTTCAGCTCCACCTTGTGACCTCCCTGCAGGTCCTGGTTTGACCCTTGTGTGACCCTCTCGTCCAGCACATCTCTGGTCACAAAGTTATTCACGTTAAGTTGCTGTAGGTCTTGTCACACACACACACACACACACACACACACACACACACACACACACACACACACACACACACACACACATTCCCAGCATCAAATCACCGACCAAGTAAGAGGCAGTCAACCCCCTCTGGTGGTGGAGACCTCAACCATACCAAAACAACAAGGGGTTACAATTGACTGTAGTTGAAGACAACAGTAGTGCAGGAGGCAGAGGGACGGTGTGGAGAGGCTGTATAGGGGGGTTCACCAGGGCGCCCCCATACTGGTAGGGTTCACCAGGGCGCCACCATACTGGTAGGGTTCACCAGGGCGCCCCCATACTGGTAGGGTTCACCAGGACGCCCCCATACTGGTAGAGTTCACCAGGACGTCACCATTCTGGTAGGGTTCACCAGGGCGCCACCATACTGGTAGAGTTCACCAGGGCGCCCACCAGCACTAAGGTCCACAGTCACACACCCAACACCTGTGACCAGCGCCCCTATACCTGCACCGCTGGGGACGTCCGCAGAGAAGCGCAGCGTGTGCAGGTGGTGCGCGCAGCTGGCGCACTCAGACGGCACTCTCAAATGACAGCGTGAAGAGGCAGGCAGTACAAAGTGCCGACGGAGGACGGTTGGCGGGGCCTCGGCACGCAACGTCTCCTTCCTTGATGACTGCCTTGACCGCCCTCACCACTTGACTGTCTACCGTCTTGCCTGCCAGCCAGCCAGCCAACCAGCCAGCCAGAGAGAGAATCTCTCTCTCTCTCTCTCTCTCTCTCTCTCTCTCTCTCTCTCTCTCTCTCTCTCTCTCTCTCTCTCTCTCTCTCTCTCTCTCTCTCTCTCTCTCTCTCTCTCTCTCTCTCTCTCTCTCTCTCTCTCTCTCTCTCTCTCTCTCTCTCTCTGGCCCCGGGTGGACAGCATCCCTCTCCTCCAAGACCTTCATTCGAGGGAGATGAAGGTCAGAGATGACCCTTCACACACCTTTGTGTCAAACAGCTGTAGTCAACAGCCGAATTATTCCACTTAGCCGGGTCCTTTGCAGTGACGATTTGGTCGTCAACAAGCACCTTCAATCCATTTGACACTCCGTAAAAAAGTAACTGTTTAGCCTAACCATAAACGTACGAATCCGAGCACTCTGCCTAACGTATGGAGGCTGATTCAGGACACACACATACACACGCACGCACGCGTGCACACACACACACACACATACACACACACACACACACACACACACAACATTCCTCTCACGGCATACATCACAAAATCACGTCAAAATGTCTTAAAAAGGTGATTACACACACATACATAAGTGTATGATTTGAATGATGGATCAATGGTAATCGGATTAATGAGGGTACTCCTTCCTTGGTGTATAACTAGAGCTCTCAAAACTATGTATATGCTAGAGTCACATCCCCTCTCATACCTGGCACATGAACTAACAATTACGAATCTTGAGGTTATCTTGAGATGATTTCGGGGCTTTAGTATCCCCGCGGCCCGGTCCTCGACCAGGTCTCCACCGCCAGGAAGCAGCCCGTGACAGCTAACTAACTCCCAGATACCTATTTACTGCTAGGTAACAGGGGCATAGGGTGAAAGAAACGCTGCCCATCGTTTCTCGCCGGCGCCCGGGATCGAACCCCGGGACCACAGGATCACAAGCCCAGCGTGCTGTCCACTCGGCCGACCGGGGGGGGGGGGGGGGATCGCCCTGTTGAAGAATTGGTTATCGTGTCCTGTGTTGTGTTATCGTGTCCTTCCCTGAGCCTC